GACGGGGTGTTCCAGCTCCAGGCTGGCTGCTCCGAGCGCTCCGACTGTGTGTACTTTCAGCCTGGTTCCTAGGCAAAGGCAGCCTCGGCCGTCCCGTGGTCAGCTCTCCATCTTTCCTCCCCTACAGGCAGCAGCAGCTGCCTCGACGGAGGCCATAGCCTGTTCAACCAAATTTGAAAGCGACCGAGGAGTCTCCAAGGTATAGGTGCAGAAACAACCATCCCAACCGAGAAGGCAGGTATAACTGAGCAATTATATATGATTTTTTGCAGCAGTGAACTGGCCAGTTGGCTGTGAACCTGTGTCTTGTCCAGTGCAGGTGAAGAGAGACCTAGGGCTGTCAGCATGGAGGCAGAGGGAAGAGGGGGAAAACAAAGGCCACAAGTGGTCACGAGTCTGTAGGAAACCCGTCTGCACTAGTTCCTCTCTTCACAGAACAATTTTGTATCCTAATAGCTTGCTAATGGCCTGATCCGCTCAGTTATAAAACTGGCACTTTGTCTTGAGTCCATGAATGTAAGAATTTTGAGTCCATAAATTTAAGAATTAAATAGCAATTGAGAAATATCCTGAGGCTTACAGGTGGAATAGATCCAAGTAGTAAGTCCCACACCACAGTCTTCATGCATGAGAATACAGATTTTGGGTTTGGTGGAACACACAGTCGGCGGATGGAGGATGTGGGAGTACAGTGAGCCTGGCTCACTCTGGCACAGAGCAAAGTGTGTGATAACGCTTCTCTTTCTCTCATACATTGTCTGAGTTGATTAGTGAAATATTAGAAATAGAATAGTTCACATTTTACGATTGGCTAGCAACATTTAATTTTTAGCTTATTTTCCACAAAATGCTACTGCACTGAAAATGGGAGTGTGAACTACAGAGTGCTAAGTAGTCCAGAGAAAATCGCAAGTGGACGTTGTGAAATGGGGGTGACCCTCTCTGTTCGTAGAGTACACGGTAAATGTCACCGCAGGTCGACAAACTCCAAGTATCATGAACTGGTGTCATTGCAGTACGAAAGGAGCACGTGAATTCTCATTTAGAAGCCAAGATGCAGATGTTAATGCCCGAACCTCAGATTTTTGTGGAAAGAACTCTGGCCCTCATCAAACCAGATGTTGTTGATAAAGAAGAAGAAATAGAGGATCTCATTCTCCGATCAGGATTCCTGATCGTTCAGGTAACAGGCTGTGCTCCAGAGAAAATAACTGCACTTGATAAGTCAGAACAATATTTATCTCAACTTTCAGCAGTCAAGCCAGTAACTAAAAGCTCATGTGTCCAAAAATCAATTTATATTTTTCATATGTCATCAACCACTGCTGCCAGAGTCTGTAGGGATACATTTTGTTGGTGCATGGGATGGAATGAAACAGACTTGACTGTTTTGCTGACCACAGGAAAACACAGACTTTGCTAATAAATTTGGATTTAGCAAACGTGTAGCAGAGATGTGGACCCTCTGCAGTAACTCTTTGGAGAGTGTATCGTTCTGGTATCACAGCGTTCCGTACAGCATGCGTTTGCCAAGCGGATGCTTAGAGAATTAATGGAATTAGATGGCTGGCCAGTTGCGGTCTGACATATTTTTTGTTTCTGCTGTTTTTAATGTAAGTGGGCTTTATGGATATTTAAATGCATTACAAATGTTTAATTTAAATAGGCCTTACTGAGCTTGTCTTTTTACATTTGGGACCTGACATGGAGGCCACGGGAATTGTTGCCTCGAGCACCGGTATCAGACCCTGTGCTGCTGGGAAAGGCTCTAGAGTGTGACTTTCAGCAGAAATTGCGTTAAAGGAAGATTTGCCGTTAGCTAATAAGAAATGTCCTCTCTCAGTCCTCTTTTATGGGACTCTTTAGACACTGGCTCTGCGAGAGCATTTGAAAAAAATGTGTTGCAATAAGCCAGAATTGGGGAAACGAAACAGAAGGCGCGCTGGGTCGCTTGACGCGAGGGATACATCAGCATCTTCGGCGAGGAGCCAGCGGTGCCGCTCCGTGCCGGGCAGGCCGTTTTTGCTCGCGGCT